GCAGATGCACCGACAGCATCCAACCCCCCAGCAGCATCCGCCACCACCACCCCCCCTCTTCTCCATCCCCCCTTTCCCCCTTCAACCAGGCAGTGGAGCTGCCTGCTGTTAATTTTAGAGGTTTGGGTTTTTTTCGGGGGGGGGAGGAAAAATGTTAAACAATGCGAAGAAAGGATCCATGATGAATCGCAGGTAGCGGCGCCGAAGCAGCCCGGGGATGGGTTTCGCCCGCTGCTGCAATCTCCCGGTGGCCGGCTCAGAATGCATGCAGGTTTTATTAGCGTGGCCACCGGAGTAATGACTCTGCTAATAATTTCCTTAAATCCTGGTCGTTGTTTGCGGGGCTGGGGGCGAGAGGGAAGAGAGGTTTTTTGGTCAGGGTGGGACCTGCCCAGGAGAGGGACCAAGCAGCATGTGCATTCAGACCCGCCTGGGCCGGATCCTGCCTTGGCTTAATGGCTGGGAAATACGGAACGAGGCTGATCGGGTACCCCGGGAGACGCAGGCAGGGATCCAGGCCTGAGACATCAGTGGCACGATGATGTGGCCCCATCCTTACGGTGGAAAAGCGCTTTCTCATCCCATCGGCAGAAAAGGCGTCCGATGAAACCGAAGTTGCCAGTGGTGCTTTGTGTTCACCGGGTTTCAGCCGGGCTGGTGCCGGTGATAGCCCAGGCGGGGATAATGTGTGAGGGTGCATTTTGTAATGACCCCAAAAGAGAGCCAGGCAGCTCCAGAAATCCTCCCAGCACATCTTATTTTTATTTTTTTTGCATGGATTTATTGGCTTTACTGGTTTAAAAAAAAAAAATGGTTTGCCAAGCCTCATGCCCCTGTTGCACCCCTCCCAAGAGGGATGCTGAGCCATGGGGGATGCTGCCTTGGGGACAAGCATGGATGGAGTGTTCAGTGGTGGTACAGTGCTCACCAAGACCAACAGTTGTGGGGTGCAGAGGGACTTGGAGGGGTTTTAGGATGGTGGGAAGAGCCCCTCATGGGATATTGAAGAGGGATGAGCAAGGGATGCTCCCACCCATGGGTGCCCTCAGTGCTTTGGGATGAAAGTGCAACAAGAATGCACCCCAATGGGTGCTTGTAACGTCCCAGGATGGAGGAGACCACAGTGACATCCTAGGCTGGACTTTTGCTGGCTTGTCCCATTTCACAATGGTGGGGTTTTCCCCCTTGATGTCTTGGAGGGTTTTGTGAGTGGGGTAGAAACCAGGTCCCCATAGGGACCCTCACTTGCCCAGGTGTGGGAAGCCACCAGGTCCTCTGTATCACCAGCACAGCACAGCATGAGGGTCCCACAACCCTGGAGGGGCTGAGCAGCAGGCCTGATGGCTGCAGTGAGGGGCTGGAGAAGTAACTAATCCTGCTGTGAGGCTGCACGGGCTGATCTAGCAGGACCGGGTCATCCTTTGCTTAGAAGAGGTGGCTTCCAGCACCCTGGCTCCAGCATCAGACACAAAAGTGGTCTCAGGGCCTGGAGACCCCTGGCACTGCAGGGGCTCATTGCATGGTGGTTGGGCAAGAAAGCACATGGGTCACCCCTCTGTGGCAAGCTCAGGTTGGGTGGAAAGAGCTTTCCCATGGGTTGTCCACCTTCCTGACAGCCATACTCCTTCCAAATGGTTGTGAATCCTCCCAATGGTCGTGCATCTTCCCAAGGAGTGGAGTACCTTCCCAACAGTTGTGGATCTTCCCAGGGGTTGCACACCTTCCCAAGAGTTATGCACCCTTCCAGGGATTGTAGATCTTCCTAAGGGTTGTGTCCCAAGGATTGTTTACCTTCTTGGGCACTGTGCACCCTCCCAAGGGCTGTGCATGAGCGGGAGGAACACAGTAGGGGAGGATGGAGGTACACAGGGGACCAAGAAGAAGGGCCAGGGAGGTACTTCTGGGGACCTGCCATCCCTTTATCACTAACCCCCCCTGTCTCTTCTAGTGCCTG